TATTAGTCTGCCGTGGGAATATACTTTGCGAAACACTATCTTGAAATATGCTCATGAGAACCAAACATATGAGAATAAATATACTCAAGCAGGTGAGAACTAAATCCTTGGCCGTGAGTCGATTCCAACTCATACTAACCCTATAGGACAGAAGAGAATTGCCCCATAGGGTTTCCAAGGTTGTAAATCTTTACGGAAGCAGACTGCCACGTCTTTCTTCACAGATCGGTGGGTGGGTTCAAACTGCCAACCCAGCAGCCGAGCACTTAACCACTGTGCCACCAGGGATCCTTAGGTGTGAACTACCACATCTTAATGATCTTAAATTAGAGCATTTGTGATAGTCCTTGGTGTGGACCTTTTCATATTGTATGTTCTTTTTCTAAGAATTCAAATTTCAAGATCGTAGTCAGTTCTTTTGCCTCTGTGTGATTGTGTGTGCATTGGGGGGATTCTCTTCAAAGCACCGAGCAGGTAAATAATTTCATTTCCCACTGGCTCCATGTTCCTCTAAACAGGATGTGAGTCACTCCTCACCTCTCAGTGGCTCTTAAGCAGGAGTGAACATCAGTATCACCCATGATTCAGCCCTCATGGCCTGGAAATCCTGATTCAGTTGGTTTAGGATGGGGCCTGGACATATGTATTTTACAAACTACCCATAGGTGTCTTTTATATGAGCTCCCATATATCTCAATATTTGACAAATTATTAAGTTAAATTAGTTGGGGACTTTTAACCTGGTGAAAGGTGTCATTTATACTTTTTTTCATGTAGTAATGAAATTTCTATGAAAATACAAAACAAGGAAGTTTAGAAATAGGCATGTCCCTTTCGACACTTTTTTTTTTGGGCGGGGTGGGGGTGTAATTTTCCATGTCCCATATTGCTTTTTCCCTGTCAATGTTTCTCTGCCCCTTTGTGGGCCAGTCTGCCTGTATTCATTTCCGTGTGCGTGTGTGTGTGTGTGTGTGTGTGTGTGTGTGTGTGTGTGTGTTCATGTATGTGTGTGTGTGTAGGTATGTGCGCCTTTGTCTCTGTGTGCCTTTGCCTCCTACAGCCTCATGCATGTGGTGTCTCCATCAGCTCAGCTGGGCTCCTCTCAGCTTCCTGCAGTTTACACAGGTGTCTGGCTCTTTGGCCAACGTGGTCTGTTTCCTCCAATCCTCACAGGCTCCTCTGGTATGCATCGCCTCCTCCAGCCCATGCATTCTGTCTGTCTTCCTTCTATCCCACAAGGACAGAAATGCCAAAGGCTGGGCCAGACAGATGGTTTGGAGTCCTGATAATGGGTGTGCCCAGAGGGAGAAACTTCCCTAGAAGGAGTCCATGGCACTTTCCACAACAGGGACAGGCAGAAGGGTTTGCATTGTTTTAAAAAGTCTTCTTGTCATCCAACCCTATCTCCCGTTCTCCATCTCTCCCCCATCTCCTTTCATGCTTTCCTCATTTTCAAACAACTTCCTTCTTCTTTTTTATTGCATTTTTCTCCTCCCCCTCCTTTTTAATCTATCCCCCTCTTCCTTTTAATTCAAGTGTTTTTCCTGTATGATGGAGAGGTTCAAACCATCCAACTGTAAAACCTGATGCATAGCTGGTACAGAACTGAGGATATGAAATTTACGTGTGGATGATTTCTCCATTATTCTACAAAAAAAGTATAGATGCAGCCAGGTATAAAGCAATTCTTTCCCATCCCAAATACATTATTCTGTACAAATAGTATAAATTTCAGCACAGCCCTTTTCAAGAATTCACTTCAAACAAGGCACAAACATGAATGGGCCCTCTGGAACACTGGGTTTCACAGTACGAAATAGAATATCCGGGAAAGAGGGGTGATATGGATTGAATTGTGTCCCCCCAAAATATGTATTGTAAATCCTAATCCCTATACCTGTGGTTATAATCTCATTTGGAAATGGGTTTTCTTTGTTATGTTAATGAGGAAGTATTAGTGTAGAGTGTGTCTTAAGTCAATCTCTTTTGAGATATAAAAAGAGCAAGCAATGAAGTAAGCAAGCAGGAAAGACAGATGCCATGCCACAGGAAGGTCACCAAGGAGCCAAGGAGCAGAAACTGAAGAGACAAGGACCCTCCCCCAGGAGCCGACAGAGAGAGAAGGCCTTCCTCTAGAGCCGGTGCCCTGATTTTGTACTTTTAGCATCCTAAACTATGAGAAGGAGCCCTGGTGGCACAGTGGTTAAGAGCTGGGCTGCTAACCAAAAGGACAGCAGTTTGAATCCACCAGCTGCTTCTTGGAAACCCTGGGGGGCCGTTCCACTCTGTCCTGCAGGGTTGCTATGAGTCAGAATCGACTCGACAGCAACAGGTTTGGTTTTCGGTTTTAAACTATGAGAAAATAAAGTTCCGCTTGTTAAAGCTGCGCACTTGTGGTTTTTCAGTTACAGCAGCACTAGATAAGAAAAGACAAGGGGGAAACAGGCACTCCAAAAATATTGTCAGAGAAGGATGTTACTGGAACTCCAGAAAGACATTTATGCTCTATGAATAGGATGATCAGGCTTACAGGGGCATTTATTCTGGGGCACTGGGGCACTGGGGCACTGAGCTGTGTTTGCCTTACATGCGCACACTGGTCACACAGACAAATTTGGAAAAACTGAATTTTCTGCAATGCAGTGCCTGCCATTCTGCCCTCTGCTCTCTGCATGTCCATATTCTGCCTATTCCTCAAAGCTCAGTTTAAGTGCCACCGTTTCCTGACCCCTATTCCCACCATCCAACGCCTAATGTATTTTATGCTTGCCTCTCTTGCATCAATTCACTGTCAAAGCTATTTCATCATAATAAATAAAACTAAATCAAACCAAACCTGTTGCCATTGAGTCAGTTTCAACTCATGGTGACCCCATGTGTTATAGAATTGCTCCATAGGGTTGTCTTGACTATAATCTTTACGGAAACAGTTTGTCAGGCCTTTCTTTTGTGGAGCTGCTGGGTGAGTTTGAACTTTCAACCTTTTGATTAGCAGCTGACGGCAAACCACTTGTGCCTCCCAGGATCCCTATAATAAACAAAGGTATGCTAATTCTTCTGGAATCCCTGAGTGGTGCAAACGGTTCATGAGCTCAGCTGCTAACAAAAAGGTTGGAGGTTCAAGTCTACCCAGAGGTGACTTGGAAAAAAAACCAGGCGGTCTACTTCCAAAAACTGAGCCCCTGAAAACCTTATCAAGCACGTTCCTCTACAAAACACATAGAATCGCCATGAGTTGGAGTTGATTTGATGGTATTTCTTCTACAAGACCGTATATAAGATCCTTTTGGGGCAGAATCAATGTCAGAGTCACATTTCTTTATCCCCAAAGTATTTAACAGGAGTCTCCGGGTGGCGCAAGTGGTGAAACACTTGACTACCAGTTGGAAGGTTGGAGGTGCGAACACACCCAGAGACATCTTGGAAGAAAGGCCTGGTGATTGGCTTCCAAACGGTCACAGCCTTGAAAACCTTGTGGTGCAGTTCTGCTCTTTACACATGGGGTCACACTGAGTGGGAATCGACTTGATTGCAACTAATAACAACAATGAAGTATTTAATATGGTATGTTATTCATAACAGGCACTCCGCAGCTTTTTGTTGAATGAATTTGGATGAATTTAATGGAAAAGATTTGACTGGCTTTGGAACTCTTGAGAAGTTCTTGGTTTAGAAACAATTGAGATTATCAGATCAGAGAAAAGAGAAGTGTAAAGAGAACAGGTAAAATGTCACCACATTAATGCTAATACCTTCACAGAAGCCTAAACGAGTTGAGGGAAGGAAGATTTCTCAATAGAAAGGCTAGATAAAAAATAATAATATATTTAAAAAAAGAAATGCTAGATAATTAAGAAGAGACTGTAAAAACAATAGCTCTATCACTACCGCTCATTTAACTAGTAACAGTTACCATCTCCATGTCAGAGTAGAACCGTGTTCCATAGGATTTTCAATGGCTGATTTTTCAGAAGTAGATCACCAGGCCTTTCTTCTGAGGTGCTTCTGGGTGGATTTGAACCTCCAAACTTTCAGTTACCAGCCGAGTGCATTAACCATTTCTACTACCCAAAGATTCCACAGCCCAGTTAAAGGACATGTTAATATTTCCCCCGCACCAAGGTGAATTCTCTCCTTTTTTTTCTTTTCTGCAGACTGTGTTTTTCCTGGAATTTTGGCATAGATGATTTTAGTGCCTATTAACCTCCATTAAATAACTGTATTTTAGACTATTTTCCAGGTAGTCTTCATCTTTATAGTTTAGCAGGGGGGCATTTAGTTGTCAAAATCGAAGTTCTGTGGAGTTCCAACTCATAGTTTAATAATACCTTCACGGCTGCAAAATGTTGGTCCTTGCCAACTCTAAAATTTAATGTTCCACTTTCCTCACTTGACTTTTATTTGCTTAGGATTTCAGATGAAGCCTTCCTTTGTGTGTGCTCATGTCTGGAGGGCAGCTCAAGGAGGACTTCCTAAGTCTGTCAGGATACTGGCAAGCTTTCTATTAGGACAACAGACCCTCAAAGACTTCTCCACTTTTCGGAATTCTGTTGGGTGCAGCACACACCTTAGCGTATCGTGAAAAGCATATTCTTAGCAATTACAGATAATATTTTTGTTTAAACACTTACCTCTTTCACTGACTGAAACAGTATTGGGGTTAGTGCCCAGATATTTGCTTGTGCTCCAAGGGTTTTACCTACATGACTTTGTAGTTCCGATGAGTTCTTTCAGGAATAAAATTTCCAACTTCAACTAACATTTCCAGTGTGTGAACTTGAGAAAGCAGCTTTAATGCCAAATGTTTCAAAAGCTTTTCCACCAATACTTATCTGAGAGCAGTTGAAGCCAGGTGGAGAGTTTTTGAAGAGCAATGTATGAGGACAGACCACTGGAAGTTGAAAAGGCTGAAGTGGATCACACGCTTGGTTTTACGTTCTGAAACCCAGCCAGTTGGAAAGGTGTCAGTGTTTGACTGTTCTATAGCTGAGACAAGAGGGGCATTGGTGGTTCAGTGGTAGAATTCTCTCCTTCCATGCGGGAGATCTGGGTTCAATTCCCAGCTAATGCACCTCATGCATAGCCACCACCCGTGTGTCAGTGGAGGCTTGCACGTTGCTATGATGCTGAACAGGTTTCAGCAGAGCTTCCAGACTAAGGAAGACTAGGAAGAAAGGCCTGGTTATCTACTTCCTAAAATTAGCCAGTTAAAACCCTATGGATCACAACAGTCCAATCTGCAACTGATCATGGGGATGGCTCAGGACCAGGCAGTGTTCCCCTCTGTTGTGCATGGGGTCGCCACGAGTCCGGGGCTGACTCCACAACAGCTAACAATAACAGCTGAGAACAGCGATTCTCAGCACTCACCCCAGACTTACAGAATCAGAATCTCTGGAGGTGGGGCCTAGCAATCTGCGCTTTAACAAGCCGTCCAGGTGATTCTTATGCAACCTCAAGGTGAAGAACCACTGGTATAGAAGATAGGAGGATTTGCTGTCACAGATTTTGGAGGTTCTTTGTGCAGAACTGTACAGAGACCATTTTAATGAACTTTGAAATTCTGTCCCATAGCTCCAGCCTTCTATCTGTGGTCTTACCCTGAGAGGCTAACTCCATATTGCTGGAGTTGGGAAGGTTAGTAGTTTTTATTTCAAGCACATAAAACCAAACCAAACCCATTTCTGGCAAGTCGATTCCAACTCATAGTGACCCTATTGGACAGAGTAGAAATGCCCCATAGAGTTACCAAAGTTGTAAATCTTTACGGAAGCAGACTGCCAAATCTTTCTTCTGAGGAGCAGCTGGTGGGTTTGAACTGCCAACTTTTCGGTTAGCAGCTGAGCACTTTAACTATTGTACCACCAGCAGTGGAAAATGCCACTGTATACTGATGACAGAATTATAGTAAAACATTACTATAAAAATATGATTGTCTGATTCAAAATGGCCAATATCAGTCTCTTTCAGCTCATTAATGCCTAAGATATTGATCTTCATGCATTTCGTTTTTGACAACTTCCAGTTTTCCTAGATTCCTACTTCATACGGTCCATGTTCCGATTATTAACAGATGTTTGCAGCTGTTTCTTCTCATTTTGAGTCATGCCCATCAGCAAATGAAGGTCCAGAAAAAGCTTGACTCTATCCATGTCATTAAGGTCGACTCTGGTTTGAGAAGGCAGCTCTTCCCCAGTAGTCTTTTGAGTGCCTTCCAACATGAGGGGATCATCTTCCAGCACTATGTCAGACAATGTTCCACTGCTATTCATAACGTTTTTACTGGCCAGTTTTTCAGAAGTAGGCTGCCAAGTCCTTCTTCCTAGTCTGTCTTAGTCTGAAAGTTCTGCTGAAATTTGTCCACCAAAGGTGACCCTGCTGGCATTTCAAATACCAGTGGCATAGCTTCCAGCATTACAGCAATACACAAGCCACCACAGTAAGAAAACTGACAGACGCGTGGCAGTATTTCGTTCTGTTGTACACAGGGTCGATATGAGTCAGAATCTACTCAACAGCACCTAACAACAACCACCAATTATAAAAATGGCTTTGACCTTGAGGGCCTCCTGAAAGCATCTTGTGGATCCCTAGAGGCTCTTGGACCTCGCTTTGACAACCACTGTTCTACACAGAGGGCTATTTCGTCCAGTTGTATTCACCAATTTGTTGTTGTTAGGTGCTGTGGAGTCGGTTCGGACTCGCAGCCACCCTATGTACAACAGAATGACACATGGCCCAGTCTAGCACCATCCTCACAATTGTTGCTATGTTTGAGCCCATTGTTGTGGCCACTGTGTCAAACCAATTGTTTAGGTAGAATCATTCAGACAATTACTCCTGATGTATTTTCTAATTGTTTCCTAAGTATTAATCTTCTTTTGTTTTAGATTATAGACTCTGCTTATGTGTGTATGCGTGCTCCACACTGTCTAGAGCTAAATGCTATGTGCTTGATAGGTACAGAAATGCAGAAATAGTAGCTTGATAACTATGGGCTGATTGGCATTTTTAAAAAGTACCATCTCTTTATAAGAAAGGGAGAAGGAACACTGGGGTCATTTTCTAGTCATACTTATATGTAAAATTAATCCAAAAGATTTATTAATAATTGTAAAACAATAGAATGTCTACATATTATACTTATTTAGACTTTAAAAACATTTATTCATTGAATAGGCTAGATTTTACTTGATGGTACTATTCCAGTTGAGCAGTTAACTCATCTATTCTTACTACCAGAATACCTGGGTTTGAATCTCAGATCCACCACTTGTTGTTGGAGAGGTTATTACACTCTTCATATCGGATTGCCTTATCTATAAAATGTGGCAATCCCATTTGTCAGAGTAGAACTGTATTCCATATGTTTTTCAATGGCTGATTTTTTGGAAGTAGGTTGCCAGCCCTTTTTCCAAGGTGCCTCTGGGTAGACTTGAACCACAAACCTGGTGGTTTATACATTGTGGAAAATAACAATACTTAGTAGATGGTCGGTGAAGAAGAGGAAGACCCTCAACAAGATGGATTGATCCAGTGGCTGCAACAATGGGCTCAAACATAGCAATGATTGTGAGGATGGCGCAGGACCAGGCAGTGTTTCATTCTGTTGTACAGAGGGTCGCTGTGAGTCAGAACCGACTGGACGGTACCTAACAACAACAACAATAACCTCTTACACAGGATTTTTGTGAAGTTCGCATAAGATAATGCTTTTAAAGCGCCAAGCAAACTCCCTGCACATGGCTGATGCTCTATCAATATTTGATGAACCACGAATATTTGTTGAATAAACTCTAAATATTGTTCATTTTATTAATTATAATTTTTGAACGTGATTATTTAACATTGCATTATAAAAATCACCTTTGGAGCACCAGTTTTGTGTCTTCTTTCTATTAACCATCTACTATTAAATTTGATTCAGTTACATGTTATATACTCTTCTAAGATTTTCACATCTGGGCCTTGGAATGTGTATATGATGTGTTTTTCAGGTAAAAACATCAACTATTAGAGAAATGTGTGCAACTAACCTATGCTCCCTGCACATATATTCTCTTCTCAGCCTCCAAATTAAGTAGACATATTGTAATATTATGAAAGCTTCCTCTGAGTTATTGCTTTCTTATATTAAGAACAATCTTTTGGGGATTGTTACCCAGACTTTTCACAAAGCACCCATTTTGAAGATGTTTTAGGTACTAAGTTTGCCTTACAATTTTTCCGGTCTGTGTCTTCGCTTTAAAAATGAAAATTAGCTAACAGACTGTCTTGAGACCGTTCCCTCTTCTACAACTGTTCTCACTCGCTCCACACCTGACATTAGGCGCATGTGCCTGAGAATGACCCTTGGTTTCTTCTATGACTCATTGTTAATCATTATAAGGAATAGCTCCATCAGTTCATAAATTTGAAGTAAACTCAATTTCCCACACAGTCTGTCAAATGATCATCAGCAATCTGTTCAGCTGGATTCATAAGCTCTTAAACTCCCCTAATTTGGAGGAGATTTGGGCTATATTGACAAACAAATTTGCACATTCTAGGTTTGTTCAAACAAGGCCTTCTCTATCCTCCAGAATATATAAGTTGACCTTTTGCAGGCATCTAGTCCACAAACTAAATATTTAAAATTGAGCCCATTAAGGAAATGCACTTTATCTACTTCTCATGTTGTAATGAGAATGAATTAGGAAGAATCCTGCTCAGTATAAAGTCAGTATCCTTTCTTAAGAATCTAGTGTAAACCAAGATCACTTAGCTAAGGATTGGTATAAACATACAAATCCACCAAACAAGGGCTTAAAATTAAGTCACAGGAAGTAGAATAATTTAAAAAAATACATAGCATCCTTGCTCTGTGAGGCAGAAACAATTTACCCAGGCATATCTTGACAATTTGTGAGTATTTATTTTTCAAGAAGAACTTTAGTATTACATTGTAAAATTTAAAAGTACAACCGTGATTTTATTGTAACTGCACATTTCTACGTTTGTCCTTGGGTGGTACAAATGGTTAACATGCTGAGATGCTAACCGAGAAGTTAGAAGTTTGAATTTACCTAGTGGCATCTCAAAAGAAAGGCCTGGCTATCTACTTCCAAAAAATCATCCATTGCAAACTCTATGGAGCACATTTCTACCCTAACACACATGGGGTCACCATGAGTCAAAACTGACTCAATGGCAACTCTTTTTTTTTAAAAAAAAATTGTTTGTCCAGTCTTTCCTCATGACCCTCAGTAAGAGTTTTCATATAGATTGTCTTTACCTTTTGGGAATAGGATTTTTACATTATATTTTTGTTGGTTACTTTTGTGACACTTTAAATTTATTTTATCCCTGAAATAAAAAACACATTATACTGACCACATTAAGCTGTGATTTACTTTAAAGTAGTAGAAGTTCTATTTTCTTTCACCATGTATTAGGCATTCCCACTAGCAATGTATGAAGAGTTCCAGTTGTTCCGCATCTTTGCTAACACTTGGTGTGGTCAATCTTTTTAATTTTATCCATTCTAGTGTGTGCAGTGGTATCTTATGGATTTAATTTGCATTTCCCTAATGACTAACGATGTTAAACATCTTTTCCTGGGCCTGTTAGCCATTTGTGTATCTTCCTGAAGTCCGCTGATATTTTCTACTTCATTTCTAAGCTGCTACTAATCCTGTCCGGTTTATTTTTGTTTGTTTGTTTCTTGTACTATAGTTTTTATCACTAGAAGTTCTGTTGGAGTCTTTTCTATATCTCCTCTGTCTCTTCGCATTGTAGCCACGTTTTCCTTTACCTTCTTGTACATATGGAGCATATTTATAATAGCTCTTTTATCACCCCTGTCTAATTGTATAATTCCTGTCATTTTGGGCTTTTTTTCTACTGATTGATTTTCTCCTGGTTGTGAGCCATATTTCATTTATTCTTTGCATGCATGGTAATATTTACTGAATGTCAGACATAATGAGTTTTTCATTATTGGTTGCTATGTTTTGTGATACTTCTTTAAATAGCGTTCAATTTTGTTTGTGTACATAGCTAAGTTACTTGTAATCAGTTGGAACATGGTGA